ACTGTTCAACACATAGGGTTCATGTGAAATTATGGGCATAAACTGCTCTACTCAAGGACCTTCATGGGTAACATGTAGTAGCCCTATGAGTAGGAATATAATCCCTAAATGATTAGGAACTCAATACTCAAGACTTAGAACTTGAAGATACTCCTCCTCTCAAAGATACTCAACTTATGAAGTTCATGCGGAATTTATAGGCATGAACGATTCGACTCGAGGGTCTAAATAACAATATGGAATTCATGTATATGATTCTTCGCATTCTCATACTTACTTCCTCAAAACTTAGCTCAAATCAATAATTGATCTCAAAGGATTCACAATTGAACTCAAAGATTTTCTTGAACTCTACTCTTAGCTCTTTTTTGAATTTGATTTTGAATTATGAATTCAAGAGTTATGATTAATGATAGTATAGACTCATGAATACATATTCATCATTCTCATACTCACTTACTCGAGTCTTGAAACAAGTTATTAGAAATTATAGAAGACTCCTCAAAAGACTCAAAGGGACTTTCTCAAAAGACTCGAAAGAACTCTCAAGACTTAACTCTTAGCTCTACCTTGAATTTGAATTATGAATTCCAGATTATTATTTGTGGTAGGAAATATATCGTAATGATTAAATGAGTTTTAGATAGTTAATCATGAGAAACGGTCAAGAAAACACTGTCTGGGAGCAAGTCCACGATGCGGAAATATATTTTAATATTTGGTTGCGAAATAATATATTTAAGATTGTAATATCGACCCTGTTAACGGGCCCTTTCATATCTAGTATATATATAGATGCTATCACTTGTACCATAAATTATTAAATAAGTTAGAGAAACATTATAAAATAACTTACTCTAAAATAATTAATCACAAAAACTAATTCTGGCCTATTTATATCCGTGGTTATAAGCGACCAAATTAGATCAAGCATTGTATTTATTGGACGACGTAAGATTACTCTACCCAGATGGTAGTACTAGAAATTAAACAAAAGAGATGGGTGAAAATCGCTCAGCCCCAACTCTTATGGAGAACAAAAACACTGTCATCTCCGAAAAATTGTCTGCAGAATCTATTTCTAAGGTCAATGGATTCCTCAAAAGCATGGGGCTCTTCAACCTTAACTTTCCTCCTCAGTATGACACTAAGGATTCTTTCTCTGAACTCAGCCGCAGCTTCCTCAAGGTCCAACATGTCCACCGTGGCAAGATTTCCTGTATTGTCTCTGTCAAACCTCCTATCATGGTAAACAATTGTTTTTTGAATACTGGGTCTTTATTATATCTCTTATTTGGTTGAAAAGATTCAGTCTTTCTTGAATTTTGTTTGATTCCCATTTTCTTGGAAACTTAAAAAAATCCCTAATTTTGTCTGAAAATGAAAAATCATTCTTTAGAATTGAAAATGGAATTGACCCAAAATGGAGCAGATTGATTATTGAGGATTCATACCTTCCACTGATCCCAACTAGTTTTGGATTTAGGCGTAGTTGATTGATTGATGATAAAGTTTCCTGCTCTAAGAAAATTTCTTGGTTCCTTAATTTCTGAATATTACGTACTATCAAATCATAAATTTGTTGAAATATCCTCAAAGTGTGGAAACTTAGGAATTGAGGTTGTAGTTGATTGATTGAGTAATGATAGAACTATTTTTTTTTTGTTTTGTGGTGGGTGGGCAGCAGCATCTCTTAACTGCTGACACTACTATGCCAGCGTCTGATTTTCAGAAGTTTAGGTATCGAATAGAATTGAGAAAGATGATGCAGTTAATGAGATCCCACTTCTCAGAAATTTGTATTAGAATATCAGGTCTGTCCAGAGAGAAGTCAATGGTTACATGGACAAGTTGGTTTCTGTTCAATAGCTTGAACAAAATAATTCATTCTGCACATCTAAGCATCTGGGCTCGTTCTGTTTCATTTCTTGGTGGATGGTTGGAAGTGTAAAGGGAGTGGTTAGGGGACAAATATCATTTTGAGGGATATATAAGTGAGGCTGAAGGAGGTGGTTGAAGTTGAGATTCTCAGGACTTGGATTTTTAGATGTCAGATGGCATATGCATTTAGGTGTTGATATTGCTATAGATTTGAGGTATCCCCAATTGTGAAACTTCTATTTGATCTATTCCATCAAACGGACTTTTACACATTTACCTTGGAATTGAAACAACTGATTTTATTCCACTCAATGGATTGAGACAGAAAGCTATGAGTTTCCTGTACTTTATTGCATTGCCAGCCAACACAACAAAGGAAAAGGTTGGGGGAGGGGGGGGGAGGGGGTACATATACTTGATATCTCTATCTGACCTCCTTCACCATCCATGTGTGTGCTTTGTACCTCGTGCAATGGTGCAAACTTTTTGCGGATACTATCAACTTCCAAGTTGCATTTTATTCAATTGCATCAAATGTATACTATTTTCTCTTCGTTCTTTTAGCTGTTTCTGGTGAAATAAGTATTGGAACACATTGGTTTACTTATTTCCTTGCAGAATGTATATGGTTCACTGCACGGAGGAGCAGTTGGAGATGTAGCAGTAAGGGTAGCAACTGCCTGTGCTCGAACTATCGTGGGAAAGGATAAAGAGCTCTTTCTTGGAGAATTAAGCATATCTTATCTCTCTAGTGCTCCTCAAAATGTGAGTCTTTATGGCATTTGTTTTGTCCTCTCAGCATTCTGTGTTAATGCACTGCTTACAGCTTAAGCATCAAGGAAGAGCATGTCAAGATTTGTGTGGTCTTTTTTCCTGTCACCTGCGACAGTGCTGAGTGTGTGTGTGAATCTTCTTACAGTTTTGTAAATACTGCACAGATGTTTGTTGTTTAACAGCAGACATGACGAACCCATATGGAATTTTAAGATGAGAAAGTCACAGAACTGACCTAGACTTACAAAGTAGGAACACAGCCGTCATGTTGAATTGCCTTGTTTTAACCATGCTACTTCCTCCATTTCATATTACTTGGCCCTTGTTGACCTGACACACCCCTTAAGAAAGCTTTAATTAGATTTGTATTTTACTAAACTAACCTTATTAATAATGTTTCGGAACTCTAAATTTGACTACTACTACTTTATTTAGTTACTTAATGGAGTATTAAGGATAGAAAGGGAGAAATATAACAAAGCTCTCTTGATTTCATAAAATGGACAAGTAAATTGAAACAACTATTTTTAGTATGGGGGCCCATGTAATATGAAGCGGATGGAGTATTTGTTTACTGAAGTATAAATATATATTTGTCAGCATGATAAGTTAGCTATTTGTCTGCAATATTTATGTGTTGAGGTACAATACCCATCCTGCCTTTTCACTAATTTATTTCTCTTTTTGGATTGGGGGTACTCACAGGCCGCAGTAATAGTTAATGCATCCATTGTTCGAAGTGGAAGAAGCCTGACTGTAGTTGCCCTGGATTTTAGACTAAAGGATTCTGAGAAACTGTGTTACATTTCTCGTGCAACATTCTATCATGTGCCTGTAGCAAGTTTATGAACCAGACCTGGTTCAACACATTAAGCCAAAGACATCCTGCTGGTAGGTATATCAGTTCTTCAATATGTATCCAGAAAACTTCTGTTGCCTTTCAATCTGTGTTGCCTCATATTTGAGTTCGTCTGATTATAGTAATCGCGTTCCAGGAATCTGATACACGTCCAATTTCTTGTCGTTGACAAGCTTTGGAACTATAAAACATTAATTAATTAAATTCAAGATGCTAATTAAAGTACTTGGTTCACGATGTATTGACGTGTATCAGTTCCAAAACTTATGTTCCCTTTACCATTGCTTACATGGTACTAATTGTATTATGGTGTTCAACTACCCTTTCAACACCTTAAAATTGTGCAATATTCTGTGATTGTCAAAAGTAATGTCATGTCTGTTTAACATTTTGCACTCACACGTACTTTTGAATAAAAATAACTACAGCAAAATCTCTTTTGTTGACAAACAGGTTGAAAGACCAGGTAAGTCACAATGTCGGAGGGCTTACAAAGTTTCAGAACTTCATTAAAATCGGGAAAAGTTCAGTTGTGTCGCTGGAATGTGTTTCCCTATCAGAGGAGCTTAGAAACGTTTGTGTAAATAAACTGTCTTCATCTAATGCAATAACTCCTGTTTAGATATGTGAATGGAAAGCAAACCACTAATCCATGACAATTTCAGTAAACATCATGTACTTGTACCTCTATTTTGTGCTAGGGCTGTGCAAATTTCGAGTCACACCAATAAACCAAACTGATAATAGGTTTATTGAGTTAATGGTTTTTTGGATTTTTAACTGTTAGGTTTCCTATGATTATTGGATTATTGATTTTAGTTCGGTTTGACCACTGGGTTAATTGAACAAAAGTAAAGTTAACTTTTTTATTGTTACGTACAATTTATCCTTTGCACAAATTTGAAATATATATTATGAAAATGTTTATTAGAATTGAGTTGTTAAAATTTTATGAGATGAGCATGACTTTCTTCTATCAATATTTATAACCCAACATTGATGCTGATGTTTAAGAAAGGCAAGATATTATTTCTGAACACCATCATCATATGCTTACGAGAGGTGAGTGTTATTAGTAGTACTACTGCACAAAGATAGAGTACTAACTTTTTTTAAAAAACATTTTCTATTTTTTTTAGTAAAAAAGGATTAAAAAAAAACCCAACAAACTTATGTAAGAAATGATCAACGCCAATCTTTTCGATTAATCAGGTAATAAAATTTTTATTGGCTTGATTAATGATTTACATGCTACAAATGTGATAATGACCAAATGTGAGCTGAGGTGTCATAACTAATTAGTGGGGAACATTTGCAAAATATAAATGAAAAATAGAAATACAGTAATAACTATGTACTGTTCCACACGAGTAAATCGAGCGGACAGATAGGTTAGGTGCGGTAAGCGCGGAGTTGGGGGACCACAAATTCATCAGTTAGGTATGTTTAGGAAGTAGGAAGGCAAGAAGAAGAAGAAGAAGATAGAATGGGAGAAGAGAATTCAAAGAGGAAGAGTTCATACACCAAAGACACAATCATCTCGGAAGAATTATCTAAGGAGGATGTTGCTCTTGTTGATATCCTCTTCATGCACGTGCTACAGGACGGTTACAACATTCCACCTCAATATCATGATGTTAAGGACTTCTTCTCTCAACTCATTCGCAGCTGCCTCAAGCTCCACAGTATCCACCCTGGAAAAATCTCATGCATTCTATCTGTCAAACCTGCAATCTTGGTAATATATGATTTTTCGGTTAACTTCCCCTTTTTTAAATTCTACGCTTACCAGTTTTGTCGAGTAAAGAATTTCCCTAATTATTGAAGGGTTGAGTTTCTCCATCTTTTGATGACATGTATATATGTAGCATCACAGGTTCGATTTGTGAACAACCATCTTTGCAGAAATGGTTATAAGAGTCCCTTACATGCTTTTGATTGAGCTGATTTTTGGAGTCCCATTCTCCTTTTACACCCATACTTGCCAGGATTAGTTCGTGTGTAATTAAGCCCTTTGAATTTGCAGACATCTATATATTCTTTTGGAATAGTAAATTTCAATCTTCTTTTGCAGAAAAACACAACAGCTTTGTTTGATTTGTGCTTTTGTTTTTTTCTTTTAGTTGCCTTCCAAATTTCATGTCTTTAAGTCTTGTATTTGCCATCTGATGAGTGTGCAACCTCTTTATTGTAGAATGCTTATCGTACCTTGCATGGAGGAGCAATTGGAGCTGTCGCCGAGAGGGTGTCAATTGCCTGTGCCAGAACTGTTGTAGGAAAGGATAAGGAACTCTTTCTTGGAGAATTGAGAATGTCATATCTTTCTGCTGCTCCATGCAATGTGAGTATTAAAGCTATCATTTAAGATCGTCTTACCTCCTCAATGTCACTAGATTTTATTGTATAGTAACAAATTGGTAGGAGAAATTGCATATCATAAAAGGAGATCTCATTCTTTTCTCTTTCCCTATATTTATTTACCTTTATATTTGTGTCCTCTCTAGGCAGAGGTGGTCATAGACGGGTCTATCATTCGGAGTGGAAGGAACATAACTGTAGTTGCAGTTGATTTTCGGCTCAAGGACTCAAGGAAATTGGTCTACACCTCTAATGCAACATTCTATCACATGCCTGTCGCAAGTTTATGAACTTAACCTCAAACACATTAAGTAGATACATTTGCTAAACACGTTCAGCAGCTCATCTAACATCATTAGATGAATTTGAGACTTAAGACTCTTATCTGTAATCCCCAAAGCAATATTTACATCTAGCACTATCTGAGATTCCCTTATTTGTCATCTGTATCATCTTTGTTTTCAAATGTTGCTTGATGAAATACACAATTGAATCATGGTTTATTGAAATAGAATGAAGTGAAAGTCATGTACTGCTAGTATGGTTTGTGTTGACACCCAATTTTGGACCTCCACAATATATATTAATCATCGAGTTTCTTAAATTCCAAACGATTTGAAATAATTGACTTTGTAAAGTTCAAAATATTTTTCAAGTTACTTTTAATTAATTTTATCATTTTTGTGTAATATGTATATTTTATATAATTTTGTATATAATTAGAGTATATTTTATAAATATTCTGAAAATCATCTCAAAAAGATTTTGATTTTCTTTAGTAAGTATTTTATTAAATTAGTTTAGTATAAATTATAGTTATAATTTTTGAGTTATTTAAATTAGTTTATAATTAAGTTGATTATTTTTATTTCGTTAAGATTAAGAAGCTCCTTAATTAATTCATATTACTTTGTCTTGATTAAATGTTGACCAAATCCACCGATTAATCTCAATTTGGTTACAGTTTTTGAAATTAATTTGAGCTATTGTTTGTTTACGTTTCCTTAGCCAAATCCTCAATTTATTCAACTCATTAAAATATCCAAATTGTGAGCTAAATTCCACTTTGGGTAAATCACATAAATATGCTATATTAAAAAAATATTTACCATCTATGACAATATAACTTTTTTAACTTAATATAACTTTTTTTTGGAATTGAAAATGTTGTACAGTTTTTCTCTTCACTTCCTCCTCTTCTTTTTTTTATTCTTCTTCTTTGTCTCTTTCTCCGTCATTTTTCTTCTTCTTCTTTTTGTTCTTTTTCTTCTTCTTTAAAATTTTCATTTAATTAACTATCCTCAAATTAATATTTGCTCATATTTTACTATCTTTACTCAAGAACATGACGAGAAGAGGAAGAGAAAAACTAAAAATTTGTATAGAAATATGTTTTCAAGCAGAAATTTCAAATCTCTAAAATTACAGTGGTAAGAGTTCACCATTGATAGTCATTATAAAGCTTCAAATTTTAGATTCATTATTTGAATTTTACGAATTTGTGATTAGTTTGGATAGGTTGTTACTATAAATAATTGAAAATGACGTTTGTAGTTTATATCTCAATTTTGAGAGGGTTTGGTTAAGTTTATAATTGGTAACACACTTATACTACATTTATAATACATGCACATTACATTTTTAATACATATTGCAAATATCACTCATGTTCTTAGTGATACAAACCAAAATAACTTATAAGACACATATAGTACATGTTTTATTCAAAAATAATACAAGTTTAATTCAGTTTATCTTGTCTTTCGTTAGTTACGTTTTTCATTTATTCTTAATTTTCTCTTCTAATTCAACTTTAATACACTTTTAATGCAAATTTAAATCATTTTGTAGTTTATTATTTGTTACTATTAGATTACTTGTTTAATTCATTATTGATATAAGTTTAATTCACTTTATAGATCATTGTTTGGTCTTTCATTGGTTACATTTTTTATTCATGCTTACTTCTCTCTTCTAATTCAACTTTAATATTTGTGTAATACAAGTTAATTCATTTTTCAGTTTATTGGTTAATTTGTTACGATTGAATTACTTGTTTAATTCACTATTGATACAAGTTTTATTCAGTTTACAGATCACAAAATGCTCTTTCGTATGCTACATTGCATTCATGTTTAATTCGCTTCTAATTCAACTTTAATATGTGTGTAATACATTTTTAATTCAAGTTTAATTCATTTCGCAGTTTATTATGTTTCTTCATTTGTTACAATTAATTACTTGTCTAATTCATTATTGATACAAATTTTATTCAGTCTACGAATCATTGACTGCTCTTTTGGTTGCTACATTTTGCATTCATATTTATTTCTCTTCTAATTCAATTTTAATTCAAATTTAATTCAAGTTTAATTCATTTTGTAGTTTATTGGTGATGCGTAGAAAAAAAACTTGACTAATCTGGTCATGCTGATTTACTTCAATTTATAAGATATGTATAATATATGTTTATTCATTAACAATATATTTATAATACATTTTGCAGACTTCACTCTCTTTTTAGTGATCCCAATCAAATTATAATTTATAATACATGCATAATACATTTTTAATGCATATTGCAGACATCATTCCAAATTAGTACAATCTTTAAAAACAACATACATAATAACTTTTAGGGGCTAATTTTTTATAAGAGCTACATATTCGTTAACGTTTATTTTGACCCATATCACTTCTTGTACCACATTAAATATTGAAGGATCAACAACTTAAATACCATTATAGTGGTTGACAACATAATTTCCAGGGACAAATAGAGAAAGAATGAGCTCAAGATTTTCTTCTCCCTTTAGAGACATAACGAATTGAATTTGTGGTTCAAGATTGTGGATCTTTCAATTGTAGCTTTAAAATATTGATACCTTGCACAGAGAGAATAAAAAAGGAGAAAGAGGAGAGAGAGAAAAAGGAGAAAGAGGCGAGAGAGAAACATAAATCAAATAAATACATAATATTGTTATATATTGATATAAATGGTAATAATTAAAAAGTATACTTAAAATAAGTAATTATTTTTTAAAAGGAATCCACCCAAGTAATTAATCCTTCCACTTTCCTGCACAGCCCACTCCCATTCCTTTCACCCTTCAGCAGCCCGTTAAAATACAACATATATCAACCCATTCTTAACCAACCAAAATTCAAGCCCACTAATTTAATACCAAACAAACACATTCAACAATACAATACATCATACCATACGTACCTACACAGTACCCCACCGCCCAACTTCGTCTTCCTCACTGAAAATCAGCGATTCCAACAGCACCCCGACCCCACTGCCCATGCTCTTTTTCTTTCCAAACGATCAGCAAGCAACGTTCAAATCCCAGAAAATCCGGCTAGAAATCCGCAGCGCCCATACTCATCCCGTCCCCTCTTCCTCTTTTGTCAAAAGCCCCATCTTTTCTACTATTTTCTGGAGAAAGAGGATTTGAAATTCAAATTTTTAAATCTGTTTCCCCTCTAATCGAATTCACTTTCTCCTATAAAAATCCGTATTTGCTTTCGGTTTTGGAGGGGTTTTTACGGTTTTTTGGGAGTTGGAGTTTAATCGTGAAGTAATAGTCATTTTACACTCGAAAAATTTTAAACCATTCTCTAATCCTTGGTTCCGAGAAAATCTCTGTTTATAATCGGTTTTGAACTTCTTGGCTTGCTATTAGTATTTGGATCTAGTGGTAGAAGAATCACTGTCCAAAGCTCGTCGTTCCCAGTTCTCTGCCTCTCAAAAGGTAATATTTCATTTTCGTCTCTTAGCGTATTGAGTATATGTTTCTCGATCATTTGAGGTATCCAAGAGTTAAGATTATTTTTAGAATATTTCGACCTATTATTGGCTGTAAATCAGTTTTATAGTTCGCTTGTTGTTCGAATATTTTTGTATGGTTTTGTTCTGCTCGGAATCATAGTGATTTTGTATGGTGTCGAATCGGTGATCTCATCATGTTGGCTACGAGTTGTATTTCAGTTATGAGGACATGTCATCCAGTTCGCTTGCTTTCTTAATAGGACATATGGAGGTTGTTGATTATTTCAGTTGGTATGAATCACGTGAGTCGAGTAGTTTACCGCCTTGTTTCTTCTTTATGATGTCTGCTTCTTTGCATTCTAGGCTAGGTATTGTAATCAACAAGGGCGGACCTACAGTGGTTATATGAACCCACTTGGGTGAAAAACAACACGGTATATATATGTATATTTAATCAGTTTTTAAAATTTTATATGTATATATTAAATTTTGAATCCCCTAACAAAAGTCTGAAGCTTAACCGAGTGGTTGAGGGGGTTCAATTTTCCCAGCCAACCCGGGATCGAATCCCCATTGCCACATTTTAGTTTTAATTCGTTTTTTTTATATATAAAATGTTCACACACAATTTTGGCATCTATGTAGGTGTAACTCTTGTCCTTTTAGTTCTTAGAAACTATAAAAAGTAGAACAACTTTTTACTTTTACAATTAAAAGTTCAATAGTCAACAACTTTTGTCCTTTTTGTTTTTAATTTTTTTTAAAAAAAAAAAACTCAACCAAAAATGCACTAATCCCTATTATTCTCAATTCTAAAAACCCTTTTGTCTTCTTCTTTGTTGAATGTTTTTCGCTTATCATTCTAAAATCAACAAAAAATTACAAATAATATTAGGTATAATTCTATGTATTCGATTCTGAAATTAAGGTTATAATTATTTTGTTTAATATTTTATTTTTATTTGTTAAATGTTGAATGAAGAGAAACCATTCATAATATTCTTTTATTTTCTTATTTTATATTGAAGCCTAGTTTTCCGTCCATCTTGTTATTTACCGTCTCATTCATAAGTCAATGTAATTTTTTTTCAAATGTATTAACATTGTTTAGTATAGTCAGATATGTATGCTGTTAGCCTCATAAAAATTACAAATAATACTAGGTATATTTTTATATCTTGAACCCACTTCGTGAAAATCCTGGGTCCGCCACTGGTAATCAACATGTTAGTTGTTCCTATTTCTAAAGCTTGTTCCTGACAGTGATAGTTGCATTCTGGAGTTCATTTACTTCGAGCTTGTACCAACTATGCCTAAGTTAAAATAAGTTGATGAGCTGCTTATTTCAAGTTGTTGTCCTCTATTAAGGCCCCCATGTCCCATAAATTTCTGTTTGTATGTCCTTAGTGCCCTTTTTTTTTATCATGCTAAATCGATTTCTCAATAACTCTTTCTAAGTTAGTTTGGATCTAATATTCTCCTATTTTTCTCTTGTGTGGGATTTCTTATTTTATTGTCTTCTTTTGTTCAAATCCCTATCCCATATTTGCTTAATAAATTTGTTAACTGAATCTTTGTTTGTAGTTTGAGTTGGTGTAAAATTCAAGTCTCTCATATCTTAGTTGGCTAGAGTTTTGTCCCTAGGATGATTAAACTTGAATCTTTGGTGTTGATTTCCTCGCGGTTCGATTGTCGTGATTGGTGGCCTCTGTTTCCAAATAAACAAAAATTAGCTTACTCCGTATCTTTGATTTATGATACCTCCGCGATAAGTGATTTTATTTATTAGTGGATGCATAGCTGATTGTTCGTTAGCCTGCTCCCTCTCTCTTTATACATAATTATGTTAATCACCAACTATTTGTTTACCATATTGTGAGTTGCTTTTATTACATCCACATTCGTTCGCTTATAAACTTTTACTCGTGTGTGTGCGCGCGCATATGCCTTGAAATTTCCTTATACTTAAATTGTGATAGTCTAGTGTTAAACATATTACTTCCTATCATGCTTTGATTTCCTTCCTGCCACTACTAATTCACGAGTTGAAAAAAAAAATAAGTGCTTCTCCCTATTGATACGGTAGTAATCATTCGTCCTATAGTGTCTTTGGTTGCATTCTGACCCTTTTTATTGACCCCTGTTTGCTTGGATCAAATATCAAACTAGTACACTAGTTCTTATTGTCAAAATCTGTATTAATGCCTTGTCATTTAGTGCAAAAAATGGGTTAACAAACTGATTAATCTAAGCCTCTGTTGCTTCCCTTTCTTGGTTTATGTTTTAGTCCTAACAAGGTTAAATATAAGTCTTTGTTATTCTTTGTCATTTTGATCACTATCTGATGTTGTTCAACTCTAATAAATAATGGATCTAATGATAAAAGTTGACCAACAGGGAGTGAAAAATATTATGATATACCCTTTTTTAGTAAATATGTTTAGCAATTATGGCATGATATGGTTAAGCCTATGTTTATTTTTTTATTTTTCTTAGGAAAATGTCCTAATTCTAGGATTTTGGTGCCCTCCTTGAGATTGTCGTATTATGATTTCCCCTCTAATGTGTTACTTACTATATTTTGCTCTTTAAGTGAGATCCAACAAGTCTTAGTTACTGCATTGTCATGAATTTGAGTTGTTACTTGGTACTAATCCATTACTCCTTTCCTTTGTATACATGCCATGTTGAGTTCATTTATGGACTCCCCAAGTCTCTCATTGCATCCTGTTGGGCTCCTTAGCCTAACACATCTCTTCTCCGAGTCATTCCGTCTTGAAGAAGTAGGGAAACTGAATTACAATCTCCAGAAAACCCAAAAGGGGTTGTATACAAGATGTATACAGCTATATACATTCAGTATACGTTGATATACCGGTCAAAAAATGTGAAAATACAAAGCTGAGGCGAAATACAGGTGTTTGGAAGCAAGAAATACATGAAAAGGGCTGATATACATGCCGATATACATCAGCTATATACCAAAAAGGGGAATTGAATTAAAGCTTAAAAATGTAGCGAAATTGGCCCAAGAATGGGCCCAATTTCATTATCTCTCTTACTCTTCTAATGATTTGATTATGTGTTGACTAATCTTATTTAACTCTAACTTTAAATAACTTAATTAGATTCTCCGAAAGATGAGTTATTTTTGTTATGTTGGTTTACTTTTAATATATATATATTTTTTTGTGTTCATTTATTTTACTAATAAGATCTTATATCATTAATTGAATTAAAACTCTTTGTTCTTAAAAAGAACGTTATTTTATGTTGTTTACTTAACACACTTTTAGTTCGTTTAAAATTGTTTCAAGCTAAGGTCTCTCCCAAATAAACTTTTAAAAAGCCTTTTCAATTAATTAAAATAAAATACTTACTTGGTTATTTTCTCAAAAAGGGTCAGTCAATTAATTTAAAATGATGTTCATGCTTTAATTTATTAAGTTGGTTTAAATTGTTATTTCAAAATGAATTAAATAAATTCTAATTAATTTAGTTTTATTAATATTCTAATCACTTGTATTTCGAGTCAAATGTTTCATTTTTGGGTCCCTTTCTCTAAGAAATAAAATAAAATAAAATAAAAAAAATGCGTCATTTATTTAATTATCTTCTCAAAGTTCATCAAATATTGTAAGTTGTTATTTTTTATCGTTATTTTCCTAAAAAATAGTCAAATATATTTTAGTCAAGTCGCAGGTCAACCGCATGTTAGCGGACACTTCGAATGCTTAAACCCTTCTCGAAGTGTAAATTGAACCCCGAACCTTCTTTGGTATCTTCAAATGATTTTTTCTGTTTAAATCTTTGAAAATTATAAGTTTTCTTAATTTCTTTAAAAAATTAAGTGGCGACTCTATTTTAAGTATTTTTCTCTAATTGTTTTATACTTAGAACATTTCAAAAAGTGATTTTTTTCTAGAGATAGTTAAATTACGGCACAACAGTTTGTCCAATGAAACTCCATTTAACTGGACTGCTGTATCACTACTTATACTGCAAGTCTGCAATAATGACAAGGAGATGACAGATTTTTTTTAATTTACAATTAATGGCATCCGTTATACAGGACGGCTTAAATGAACACAGCCTCAATGAAATAGAGGAGATCTAGACAAATAAAGGAGCATTAGGCACTCTTTTTGTTAAAGACAATTGCTAATGTCTCATTATTCCACTCACTCCAAAATGTTTATCTGCGTCTTGTTAACACCAGTTAGGAGTTCACCTGAGGACTACCTATACAATGAGAAAAAAAATACAGATTCTGGAGAGATTCTTCATCAAGCTAGTGGCTGGTGAATCACTGTTCAAAGAGCGAGCAACCAAGTTTTAATGATTAGAGTGTTATAATATTTGATCACTTTAGTTTGGTAATTTACAGACTTGCTTTTTTGGATTTGTATTCCTAGCCAACTGTAATATAAATACTGTTTTTTACTGGAACTTTCTTTACTTGATGACTTGGTGATGGAATTCCCAGAAGTTTTGCTCCTTTACTACTTGTTATCACAAACCAAATGATTTCAAGAGGATGAAGTCAAAATTAAGTAATAAAAAAAATGTTTATGGTGTGGTCCCGTGCCTGGATGTTCACTTATTTTATCATATATATATATACACCCTTGTTGATTGGTTATGGCGAATTAGGGGTCAATGGAATGAACAGTATATCAGTGCACATACATGTGCAAAATTAAATTTGTTGATTGGATAGCAAATTGCTTAGGTATATAGATGGGGGAAGAGAGTTCAAAATCCAAGAGTTCATACACCAAAGACACAATCATCTCCGAAGATTTATCTGAGGAAGCCGCTTTCTTGGTGGATCGTCTCCTCAGCCGCGTGCAACTCCACGGGGACAACTTTCCGGCCCAATATGAATCTTTCTCTGAACTCACTCGCGGCTGCCTCAAGGTCCACAGCATCCATCCTGGCAAAGTCTCCTGCATTCTATCTGTCAAATCTGCAATCTCGGTAAATTGTTTCACCCTTTGTTGGGATCTGATCTTCACTATTTCTACTAAACCCTTTTTAAAATTCTAGCTTCCCAGTTTCATGGAGTAAATAATTTCGCTAATTATTGAACAGTTGAGAATCAGGTTGAGGCTGTGGTAACAAGAGTATAGACAGTTTCTTTTCTTTGGAATTGCATACATATAGCTGAGGCGAGCGTTAGAGCAATGGTAGAGCTGCTCTTTTGATGACATTTAGATCACAGGTTCGAGGTGTGAACTGTGAACTATCCCCTCTTTGCAGAAATGGTTAAAGAGTACATACATGGTTTTGATCAATCATAACCCCCATGAGCTGATTTTTGGAGTTAGAGCAAATCCCCTTCTTATTCTCGATTCACACAATATTGAATCATCGGGCTATATTGTACATGCTCCATGCTCCGCAAAGAGTGTTAGTCCCATATTAGTGCCCCAAGATACAAGTCATGAGCGTGAAAGGGTGTTGGTCCCATATTGCTGTTGTTAATTACATAATCATCTTACCTTATTAAGTATTGGAGTTGAATTAGATCCAAACTCCTAAATCATAAACACATGGAACTACTGTATACGGTATATACTTGTTCTCCTTTTACACCCAGACTAGCCAGGATTACTTCGTGTGTAAGCCCTTTGAATTTGCAGACAACAGAACAACTTTGTTTGATTTGTGCTTTTGTTTTCTTCTTCTAGTTGCCTTCCAAGGTTGGATTTGAGTCTTGAGTCTTGTATTTGCCATTTGACGTTTGTGCAACCTCTTTATTGTAGAATATTTATGGTAGCATGCATGGAGGAGCAGTTGGAGCTGTCGCAGAGAGGGTGTCAATTGCCTGTGCTAGAACTGTTGTAGGAAACGATAAGAAACTCTTTCTTGGAGAATTGAGAATGTCATATCTTTCTGCTGCTACAAGCAATGTGAGTATTGAAGCTTTCATTTAAGCTCCTTTTACCTCAATGTTCCTCGATTTTAGTGTATAGTAACAATTTGGTAAAGACCAAATGCACATCATAAAAGGTCTCTTTCCTATTTATTTGCTTTTGTATTTGTGTCCACTCTAGGCAGAGGTGCTTGTAGATGGGACTATCATTAAGAGTGGAAGGAGCATAACTGTAGTTGCAATTGATTTTCGGCTCAAGGACTCGAAGAAATTGGTCTACACCTCAAATGCAACATTCTATCACATGCCTGTAGCAAGTTTATGAACTCAAACTCAACACATCACGTAGATACATTTGCTAAACCCGTTCAGCAGCTCCAGCTGATATACAATAGCAAATCATTGATATAGACTCAAGACTCTTATCTATAATCACCAAAGCAATATCTCATATTATCTGAGATTCCCTTATGTATCATCTTTGTAACTAAGTGCTGCTTGTCGGAATACACAATTGAACCATGAATTATTGAAAGAGAACGAAGTGAAAAATAATGTACATCAATCTTGTATCAACTGTCTGTCCAATGAAACTCAACTTTAACTGCAGTGCTGTATTACTACTTAATACTGCAACAATGACAAGGAGATGACACAGATCTTTTGCAAAAAAAAAAAATGGCAATACAACTAATGGCATCTGTCATACTGGACAACTCAAGTGTCTCTTCTGATGAACACAGCCTCAATGGAATAGAGCAGATCTAGATAAATAAAGGAGCATAAGGCACTCTTTCTGTTAAAGACAATTTCTAATGTCTCATTACTCTTCTCACTCCAAAATGTTTATTTGTATCTTGTTAACACCAGACAGTTCACCTGAGGAGAAAAAAATTATGACATTAAAGTTATTGCTTATTGTACAACGAGAAAATGAAACTAGCCAAACCAAGAATTAGACATCCTTTAGCATCCTTTACAGTAAATGATACATTATGTACCCACTGCACGAACTATTTATGTAGAAATTTTACTACATGGACAATACAGTAAATCATACAGTGATGTGCTGATTTGTTATGTGATGAATAAAGATTACAACGATTGTTTTACTACCAAAATCAAGAACTCGCTTAATCCTCTATTACAAATACATGTCTTCTCATCAACCGCTAAGCCACACTCTAAATACTCTTGATTCTAAAAACTAAACACGAGGTGAAATTATCTCTGATATAAGTAAATATAAATTCCATATTTACCATACTAGGGTTTTAGGCTCCCATAGTTGATATACTAATTTGAACTGCACAAATAATAAATGAATGTTTCCAGAATCTTATAGACTGTTATTGGTCATATTGATACTGTTGGACAATGAACAACGTTCCATTAGCTTAGTGTTCTCATTTGTCTTGTAGCCATACTAGTTCCTCACCTAACTATCAGTTTGAGATGCCAAGAATATAGATTTTACTTTTGGGATTGACATTTTCTATCACCAAAGAAACTCAAACTAAATACGGATTGAAAGACCACACCACTACCATCATATGCCATAATATATAAGATAGTGATGTACTTAGAATTAGGAGAAACTGTCACTGCATCATGCCTCATGGGAAGATAGCATTAACAAATTCCTCAGCATTGAACGGTTGGAGGTCATCTACACCTTCCCCAACACCTACAAACTTTACAGGAATACCAAGCTCATCAACCACACTGACCTGCAATGCCAGAAGTTTGAGATCATTTAAGTAGTTGCAATTTATCAGATTTTTAGAGAGAAAATTAACCACAACAAAATTATAAAAAGAAAAATGAGCTAAATTTGGAGAATTCAAAGTATACCACACAGCCACCTCGAGCAGAACCATCAAGTTTAGTCAATATTAAGCCAGTGACTCCAACAACCTAGAGAAGAAGGCAATTTCATAAAGAACCTTAAACTAATTAAAGTAACATATAGAGGTTCAGAATAACGAACTGATAAGGGTCATTACCTCGTTAAACTCTCTTGCTTGAGGAAGCATATTTAAACCAGTAGTTCCGTCCAGTACAAGCAAGATTTCCTGCAAAAGTTCAATATGTTATTCTTACATTCATGACAGGGGTTTTCCATTCAGCCGACAAGAGAAGTTTAGCTCAGTCTAGAAAGAATTTAATCACAGTAAATAGAATGGGCGGGAAACTGGATTTTAGATGACAAAGAGGAGCCAATAACTAAGAAAGGAAAAAGGATAAAACAACCATTGGCATCTATACAAAAGATTCCAGTAACTTTTATAGGGTTTCACTATTCTACCCATTCTTGTTTACACTGAAAAGATATCAACAAATACAATCTGACTTGATCTTCAATATTGTGTTCTTTAGTCCTTCAAAACACCTCGTATTCCTATCTTTCCAAATGCATCACCAAATAGCTGCATAGTATTCCATGCTCTCTTCAGATGCTCTGAAATCCCTTGAAGAATCAAATTTATCTAACATCCTGCTATTCTATTTTTCCTTGGAAAGGGTCTTGTATTCTTCAAATCCATAAGAGTATCTTCTAACAGAACTTTTAATAATGTTTACATTAAAAAGGTTGAGTGACAGGACTTCGAACTAAGAAATTTGTTCAAATAATTAAAAGACTAGGGACAATGTGTGAATACATCTTGCACCAAAACTTACATTGGTACATCATTACATACTATAGGTTTTTTTAAGAAGTACTTCTGTGTATATTACAGGTTTTATCAGTTTGAAGCCATTTCAATGAAGAGGCAATAAGGACTCCATTGTATGCTTAAACATCACAAGTTCTCCAAAAAATGGGACAAGCCATGATGGATGTTTGACAGTATAATAAAGAAAAAAGCTGAAGAGTTCAAGTTTAACATACATTAGGTGCACCATTAACAATTTTACTGACTACTTTTTTGCATGCCACCAATTCCTCCATCAAGCTATAGTTGGTGTGCAAACCTGGTTAAAATTTCAATTTTGGTTAGTCAGAGATACTCTAGAAGTGTAAATAAGAAAGCTGTTTTCATATTCACAAAACTTACGGCCAGATGTGTCGCATAAAACAATATCGAAACCCTCTTCCTTTCCTCTTTTAACAGCCTGTGAAATAACTACTCAGGAAGAACTTCAAGATCATGTGGTTAGAAGTAAGAGTTTCCACTGACATTATTGTTTGGGTTAATATCTAGTGTTGCAATCACATGTGGATTAAACATTGTGCTTTGGTACCTGATGATGCCTTAGCTTTCTCTTTTTCAGCAACAACAATCTCACAACCAGTCCTTTCAGCCCAAATTTCTAACTGGTCACTAGCAGCTGCTCTAAATGTATCACCAGCTGCTAATAGTATCTGCAAAAGATCACAGAATGGAAGTGTGAGATGCAGGATCTATCCTGTCATGAGTAGAAGAAGAAAGATAATGCATCTAAGTTCTAATTAAGTGGCAGAGAAGAATGTTTGAGTGAGTTTTTCACAATGTAACAAATATTTTATCCTGAGAACCGATTTTCCTTTGTGATTAAATATCAAAGGACTGTAAAAGAATGAGAGATTTACACAACAAAAATACGTAAAGATTACTGGACTGTAAGAAAAACTATCAACACTTGTCCTCATGGCGAAGGGAAGGATCATGAAATGTTTCAAGTGGTTAAAGTTTAATAATGGAAAGCATATCCCAAGATATATATTTACAGCTATGAGTATGAAGATTTGCACAAGGTTGGAAGGCAGTCATAGGAATGTCTTCCTTCGTTTTGGCTTAACCAAGATATTTCTTGACAGAACTACTCAACCTAATGATTGTGTCAGTTTCTCAAACCAAACTCAAGAACATAAAAGCTTTCAACACCACCAATTTCAATAGCATGTTTCCATATTAGCAGATGAGGAGTCAGTGCCTGGAGTCCTAGAGTTTAAGCTTCAGCATGTATGACAAGTCTAACCTTGCCACAAAAATTTCTTTAAATGCAATGCCATACTTTGATCAAAATGAATATTCGTAATTATTGTTTCAAACATAACCTAATGCTCACTGGAGAAATTTGACAGGAAATATTTGTTAATACACAGTATTCATCAATTTTAGTGATACAGATAAGTGGTTTGCACTAATAGTTCTGCAGCATAGCTGACAGCTACAAGATAACAGTTTGCTCTCACCTTAGCCCCTTCTCTCTTCAGCCTATTTGCCAACTTTCCTGCATTAGTAGGAAAAGAGTTACGGTCACAAGTTACTGCCACTTTTTAAATTGTTGACTATGTGATGGACATCCCAGAAATTTTTGCTCCTCTTACTACTCATTATTACAAATCAAATGTTCTCGAGAGGATTAAGAAAAAAAGGCACAACAAAGTACTATTCGAATTTGAAATAAAAATGGGTTTTGGAGAAATTTCACTGTTGCCACAAATGTATAACCGCTTTTCTTTCTTGCACATTGACTCATTTTCCAACCAACAATATGAAGGTTTACCATGCAAACAAAAATCAGTTCCCTTACCAAGAGATGTTGTCTTCCCACCTCCATTGACACCCACAATCATGATTACTGCTGGTTTCCTAGTACATAAAAGCAAGCACCAAATTTTAGTTCACTCAACTAAAAGACAAGCTTAAGATAAATGTAAAATTTAAATTAGTAAAGCAGTTGAAACCTGAAGCCCAGACGGAGGTCTGTTTTAGGTGCTTTACTAGTCAATAGATCCAAGATACTCTTCTTCAGAACACTCTTCATATCATATTGTTGCATTTCACAAAATCAACGCACCCATAGGCAATAAAAAACAGAAAATTAACAAACAAGCATTAAAATAAATGTGTAAAACCACTATGCGTAGAGCATGAGTGGCCATTAGTTTTCCCTGAGAACAAATTGAGTTAAATGGTTTAATTTCTAACACAGCATATTGAATAGACCAGTGTGTTACTGAAAAAAATGAACATCTCATCTTGCTTACTTTTATCTCACTTCCTGATTTGATTTTCCCTGCATATATATCCTCCCGCAAGCTCTCCACAATCTTTATGGTAATCTTCGGCCCAAAATCAGCGACCAAGAGAACCTGAAACCACAGTTGAAGATTGTCTCAATCCTCAACACTAGCATCATAGCATGTGCTGGAATATAATAACTCAGTTAGCTAAAATAACAGCACGATTAGTATTTGGACATACATTTGAGGATCAGGAACATTCATTTGAGACAGTTGCTTTATCAAGAGGAAAATATTCTTTACCCAGAAAGCTCACATCTAAAGGTGTAAAACTTCCCATTCACCTCTAGTTCATCAAACAACACATAACTTTATACTAGATTCCACCTCATACAGAAATTATAGCACGCCAAAGGGAAGCACTACGCCATGCTGAGGTGAGTCCAAATTATTATCAAATCCCTGTTTCAAATAATTAAGGCTGTAACTTAATTCGGCAGTAAATAGTGAGCAAAGGTGACGATCATCAGGAATGTACAACGAAAAATCATAAAATACCCAAGGAACCACACAAAAAATTGCTCACATAAGCAAAAATAGCAACAACGGAAACTCAAAAAGAGTAGCCCCCTCATCTCAATTACGCAAAATCATTTACACTTGCTCATATTTATGCAACTTCCAAAAACACAATATCATGAAATTATTCAAAATATTAAATTAGCATGTAACTTTTCAATCATTACTTCAACATAATACTGTATAAACTAAAACAACATCTCAAACAGTAATTTTCAATATTAGTTTTAGCAAGAATCGAAAGGATATTTGGAACTAAACCTCTTCAAGTTCATCAAGAACACGATCAGTATCAGAAAGGTTCCAGTAAAGGAGGAGTTCATCAATAACAGCTAAATTGTCTCGAGTTTTTGAGAATCCTGAGAACAGTTTCTCCACATCACTTTTGGCTTTCTCTTTCAGCAAACGACCAAGCTTCGTGAAGAACCCCGTTTGACCCGCCGAACATCTGAACCGGGACTGGTCTAACCGGGTTTTAGATGAGAAGTGGAGGAGAGTTGAACCGGAGTTAGAAGGTGGGAATACCGGTTTGGAAGGAAGATGTGGGAGACGAGAAGATAACGTTGAAGCCATTTGTTCAGCTCAGAAGCAGCAATGGAGAAGATAATGCAGCTTCACACGACGCCGTTTTATTGCTCTTTAACATTCTTTTTTCTCTCTTTTAGTTTTCAAAAAGAATTTTTACACCTAATAATTTCGAAATAGCATGTTTATATTTTTATTTTTGATATTAGAAAGTTTATAATTGTATACAAAAAAAGTTCAAAATTATTTAGATTATAACTAGGGAACTTACATAAATCAACTTATTAAGTATTCCAGTTAATTACTTAGATACATTCTAGTTTGCAATATTACGAATCTTATCAGATTTTGGTGCGTCCAAATACGTTCTAATACATATATCTTGGGATACATAGGATAAAAATTAGGTGTAATTTGTTTTAGATACATTGTAACCAAATGAATTCGCATATATATGAGATACGTAACAAATCAGCTTGCTCTCCCTCTCCTCTCTCCCATCTTACTCACCAGTCGCCACTCTCTTATGTAGATACATGTATCTAGTGTTAATCGCATGAATATAGGATGTATAACAAATCTCAGTCGTCTCTCTCTATTTTAGTGTATGTGGTAGCAAAAGTACATATCTAAGTGTATCTTTCTCAATATACGGTAGAAACTCTTAATTAGTGGTAAGGTACGTAATATTTTAAAAGTATAGGTAATAATAGTGTATATAGTAGTAGTAAAGTATGTCTAATTATATAGTTTTTCTTTATAATAATGATATCATATTTATATCATTTTTAATATATAATAATTTCAAATAAACTAATAAAATAACAATAGTGCTCTTCTTCAAATCTCTTCTTTCAAAGTTTTTAAAAATTAAGATTAAAAATTTGAGAAAAAAAGTAATATATATATATATATATATATATATATATATATATATATATATATATCTATACTACCTTAAAAACATAAACTCCCAAACTTAAATGTTGAATTACTATAATACCCCCAATTAAAAATACTCAATTTATTTTATTTATTAGTTTAATTATTTGTATTATATTAAAAATAGATGCCTTTACACATTAAAGGGTTATGATTTTTTCAAAGAGTTGTGACTTTTCCAAAAGGTTGCGTCTTTTTTGATGGGTTGACATTTTCGATGAGTTGTGACTTTTCCAAAGGGTTGTGCCTTTCTCAATGAGTTGTGACTTTTCCGATGAGCAGTGACGTTTACGAAAGGTTGTAATTTTTCTGATAAGGCACAATTAGCACCTATTCATACTTCTATTTGTTAGCTATAAATAAAGGAGTTTATTCTCACTTTTAAATTACAGTTTTTTTAAGTTTTGTACTCTTCTTGTTTTTTAAAAATCTCAAGGGTTATTTGTAACAATTGAATAAGTTCAAAATTCAATGAAATTGAGATATCACATAAGAAAGAGTTGGTGAACAAATTATAGCAAATCATTCAACAATTCACACTAGCAGTTTTTCTTACGATTTTCATGAATTAACAATGACGAAAAGTTGTGGGAAAGACAATAATAATAAACAAATATGAAAAAAGTCACATGATTTGGGTTTGCTATTTCTCCTTTCTTTTTTAATTTTTTATTCTCTTACCCACATAAAGGAGTTTCTTTCTAATTTTGGTAAAACAACAGGTATCAACATAGTCCATTGAATGATTAGTTTGGATATAAAATTCACTATTTCAAAAATAGATTTTAACTTTTACTTATGATATGATTTCAATCAAATGGAAAAATTACCTCTCTATATATGATAGTCTTACTCAAGTATTAATTGAGTAATAATATTTTGTAAAAGATAGATTGCGTATAAAGATAAAATATTGAAATATTTATGGTAATCCTTATTAGTGTCATACACATACTATATTTCAAGTATGAATATTTAAGAGAAAAAATATACTTAAATGGTGTTCATCATTTATGTTCATATCTCAAGAGGAAAGGCTATTGGTGACATTTTTTAAAAAAAATTTGTTGGCTAGATTTGCTTACAAAATTGAATGAAGTAAAAATACTACTAAAGAAAAGTCACTTTCTCCCCACATTTAAACTTTGAATGTATTTTGAAATATTTCAATGATATCTGGTCATTTTGATCTCAAAATACAAGTAACTGTATAACAATTTGTATTAATTACTTAAAAACACTTGTCCTATGTTTTTCAATTATAATTATTTACTAAAAAGCTTTAATTTAATAATGTTAATTCTATTTTACAGCATTGTATAGTATATATACAATACACACATGACGTGAAACTAGTATATATATATATGTATGCATATATTTCCACATTATACTATTTAGTCTCGTATTATAATTTCCACATTACAATCCAATAACTTATTTACAAAAGATAATTCGAAGAGATAAGACAATAGACATTATAAGTATCCTACTTCAACAAATTAGAATATTTTAATAGTATGACTCATTACATATATTCTCTTTCTTGTTTCACGTTACTGGGACATTTTTTCTTATATATTTGTAAGTTTTTTATATAAATTTTTTTGAATTAAGTGAGAGTTTGATAATAGATTTTGGGCCAGATTTTAAAAATTTATCCTAAAAAAAGAAGTTCCAGTTTTACTTATAAAATTTTAATTTTTTTCCTAGTAAAAATGCATGTCCAAATAAAATTTCAAGTTTTAAAAATCACAATTTCAAAAACTCAAGTTTTTAAATTTCTAACTTCAAAATCTACGACAAACCAAAGCTCAATATCCATGGGTACGTTTTAAACCTTGACTATAGCTCGTTAAAGACTTGCACATTTGCAAGATTTCCAAAGAGTGCATTTCTGAGAAAATTAGTAATGGAAAGTGACCATTCAACAATTTTTTTTTTGTCTCATCTCATCTTGACCAGAGATTTGACTTCATTTTCTATTATTAGCCTTTAAGGCAAGGAGTTACTCCTCCAGCTGGGAATCCTCCGATCAAGCATGATTTTAAGGAACAAAACAGGTTGACTGACTTGCTAGCTAAACAAGGTCAGATGTTGGCGGATCATAACACGTTAAATTTGGCGTGAATTTTCAGTTTCATTTTCAAATTATTTACAGTGTTAAAAACACATTTTTTTCTTGATTAATTGAACTATTATACACCCCAGATGCACTCCCAATATGTCACATGACAAAGCAAATGTTCTCAAACTCTTATAGGAGCATGAGACTCTTAATAAAAAATCGAGAGAAGTGTTAAAAATATCCCTAAACTTGATGAGAATTTTAGGGTGTATTTCACTCATGTTGAAAGATTGTATGTGTATTTAAGTTCAGCTAGTCAAGTAAATGGGTGTTTTTAAGACTGTCAATAGTTTGAAGATAAAACTAATAATTCGTGAAAATAATAAATGCAGATAAGGAATGAATTATTTTTAATAGGCCAAAAAAAAAAAACTCCTATATAATTGACTAAATCCTCCTCCTATTGTGGCAGAACAATTTAGTTTTAGCAGTAATATGATATGCCCTATTGTAATGTTACATAATATATTAATCTTCATTTTAACTAAAAAAAAACAGTCCATTTTAATGAAGTCGCATAAAATTAATAGAGAATAGTACAACATGGAATTAGGTTGGAATAAAAGTAGTATAAAACAAAATGAATATAACACATGATAACGTAATAATATGATGTATTATGATTTCGAAAGTAATATGACATGATCCAGTTGACTAGTATTTCCATAAATTCTAAACCATTTATGAGTCCTTTGATCAATTTTGATGTTGCTTCCAACAAGCCCTGCAAGTCTTTTTTAATTAAACAAGATAACTCTCCACTATTAATTGAATTGAAAGTACATTTATATATATAAAATATACGTGCGTAATAGGATCAGACCACACGACTTAATTATTTATATGTATTATTTAGTTGATGTACCTAATTATGGATTTTCCCCCTACTTTACCTAATTATGGTTAGGAAGCATTTTCAGAGAAATTTCTCAAGCTTTATTATTGAGGACTCCATGAAATACATAATTTGTATCATGATTCACGTTACTCCTCCAGAGACAAATTATACATCAACAATTTAAAGGAAAGTTTTATAAGTCTTATTTTATACTTTCTCTATTACATAACTTCAATTTGTGAGACAATGCATATTATATTATGAAAAATATTTAAGGACATAATTTAAACTATACTATCTACTATTATTTTTTGTGCAATCATAAACAAAATTTTATAAATAATGCAATTAATCTCTTAGAAAAGATCAAACAACTACAAACTAAGGGCAAAGATGAAAAAAAAAATTCAAACATTCATCTTGAATTTTGAACAATCAAATTATTTTAAATAGTAAAAAATGCCCTAAAAAATTAGTTAATACGAGTAATATTCATTTTGTTCTTATTTACTTGTTCATTTTTTACTTGACACGCTTATTAAGAAAATAATAATTGACATAGTAAGATTACTATTTTACCCCGGACAAAATTTCAAAATCAATTTACTCATTAATGAAGTTCTACCTTTTTCAAAAACGTTTTGAAGGTATAATTAGGTAAAAAATATTTTCTTTTCTTGATTTCTTAAAAAAATGACAAATAAAAAAAAGTAAAAAATCAAAATTGAACGAGTAAAATAGAGGAAGTAGTTGTTAGATAGTCATTACTTTTTCCGCATAACAATTCTTACTTCTAGTAACAATTACTACTCCTGTCCCATTTTAATTAGATCTTTTAGGTTTTTTCATATTTATTGAAAACAAATAAGTAACAAATATAATTTATTAAGCTATTTCTTTTTACTAACTAGACATTTTTGTAAAAATTGAGCTATATTAAAAAAGTATTTTTCAATATTAATTGTAAAGTTAAAAATAATTATCAATTTTAATTTTAAAATAATAATATTTTTGAGCTATAAACGAGATTAAAAATGAAGTAGTAGTTAATTTAGTCCAACTTTATGAGTGAAAAAACTATTTCTCCGTTCAATTTATATGTTTTTTTTTACTCGGTTAAAAAATGACATATTTTTATATTTAGTAATAATTTATATATATATATTATTTTTTATTTTTTTTAAAAAAAGAAATGATTTCTAGAACACATTATTTATAACTTATTTTAAATCATAAATTTCAATGTTACTTTTTTTTTTTTTAAGATTATGAATTGAAATGCTTTTAAATTGAAATGAAGCAAATAGGTACTTATCCGTCATCACACTTGCTTTGCAACGGCCAAAATAGTTTAACGGGTTCTACGTCAGATTTTTGATAAAATGTAATACGTGCCCACCTGCAACATGCACAATTATTAATTTGAAGTTTAATATGTCTTTAATTACTTGTCTATTTTTTAGTTATCGCTAATTAATTGTCTATTTTGATAAATCAAGAAATGATAGTTTTTTTTTTTTACTTATTATGCTCTCAAGTAATTACTATGAAAAACATAGAACTTTTTGAAAATCTTAAGTTTTTTAATTCATCCATCCATTATGTCAATCATTATTTTGTTAATAAGTGTGTCAATTCAAAAGTGTTTTTAGTCAAATCGTCCCTCTATATATTTATACTTATCCGGTTTGACACACTAATCAATAACTAACATAACAATTTTATTAAGTCATTTTTAAATATAATACATTTTAAAAATATATTAAAAATGACTATAACTAATTATAAGAGCTTTATAAATTATTTGTTGATTTTCAAATTGAATAAGTAAAGCAATACCTATATTTGATACAGTAAATAAATGAAAATTCAACGAAGTACTAAAAATCAAAATTAATATATATATATTTGGATAAATGTGAAACTAAGATTTTTATTATCCGAAAGAACATGGATCCCTACTTTTTTTCTCCTTTCCGAAATCGTCGAACATTTGTTATTATTGGATATATTAGTCAGTTTTACCACGTCAAACGCGTACGTCAAAATTGAACAAAACAACAGACTGGCCATATAGAACCAACATCCCTCTTTCTCTCTCCTTTCTTTCCTCCTTCCTTTAACATATCTATAAATACACATATTATTCTTTTGCATATACATACTGATTTTCTTCTCTTTTTTATTATTATTACAATTACAATTACAATTACAATGAATCCTTTATCATTATCATCGCGTTTGTTAGAAGTAACGGTGATATCCGGCGAGAATCTTCTAGATAACCGAAAGCAACCGGTAAAGAAGAACGCTTTCGTAAATATCAAATCAGAATCTTATTCATGCAACCTCCAAACAACTAAAATGGATAAAGAAGGCGGAGGTTTTCCTAAGTGGAACGAGAAATTGATCGTTGATTTACCCATGCATGCGCGTCATCTAACGGTGGAGGTTCAATGTAAAAATTCCTCCGGGATCAAAACCGTTGGGATCGCAAAAGTTCCGACGTCCGATTTTATTGGAGGAATTTTGCCCGAAGATTATTTGCATTTTTTGAGTTATAGGCTTAGGAATGAAAAAGGGGAGAAAAATGGGATAATTAATTTTTCTGTTAGGGTTAAGAATGCGGCGCCCCCGTCGTCTCAAAGTGCGGCCGGCTGTGCTGCTGCTTATACGCAGCAGTGGACGGCCGCACCGATAGATATGGGAAGTAGTTATAACGGTTCTTGTGGGGTTGTTACGGGTGTGCCCGTTTATCCGAGGAGTTTTTTAGGTAATTCAATGGCGAAGAGATTTTGAAATTTTTTAATTTTACTATTTGTTTTAATTGATTAAAATAAACAACAAAAGAAATTGTATAGATATGTTTTAGGATGAATTTGATTACATTTTTTTTTTAATTGAAAGAAAGATTACGTTAAGTTGCGTTTGTTAATGAGTAGTTGATCGATTCAAAATCATAACAATATTGATCTATGTCATATTCAAAATCATAACAATATTATTGATCATGTCATATCTGCCTTTTAATACTCAAATATGGGGTAGTGGCGGGATCTTTCAGCCCATAATCAAATGTCTCGCGTTTGGGTGCCTAAATTTTGAATACTAATTTAGTCGGGCCTAATAATATGAATACTAAACACAGTCTTGGGGCGGGGTTGGTAAAACCCTTGGATAAGAATAATCTCTGTGTATTGACTTTTGCTATGTACGTAGTATTCATTTGTCTCTTCAAATCTACTATTTCTGCTTGATAACAATAGTGTTCTTCTCGTGTCTATGAGTCATGAGTAACTTGTTTATTTAACAGTACTGTTTTGACTGATGATGAATTATACTATGGTGAATTGTTTGTTAATGTATGAACTTGCTTGAAAGTAAGAATGCTAGAGTTGTATTAAGTACTTAACTGTGAATAATCCGTATAAAATCATTTCTGATTTATCTGAAAGTTGGTTCTCTATCAAAAAAAAAACTAAAACAATAAAAACAATGATGTCCGAAAAGAAAATTTTAAATTTTGGTAGTACTAAATAAACGTTTCTTGATTCACTTACTTCTCAAAATATATATGCGACATTTTCTTTCGAATCTAATTCGTTTTGCTATTCGTATATAATGTTATTTTAAACACAATTGTATTTTTATAGTTTAAGTGATAATATGTATGAACTGCTAATGGGAGTAGACGTTAGACGAGGGTGATGGCGTGATGCAATTTAAGAACTGAGATTAGTTGGTATTAAATGTTGATATATGGGCTATTTCTTATTGAATGGTTACCCTTTTTTGGTTATGGGCGGATCAAGATTTTTCACCATTTTCTTTAATTTATGGGTTCATTTCAATTAAGTGGAATCCTTAAGTCACATTTTTTTCACCAAGAACATTTTCAAAAATTTTACTCTTGAATTTGGAGTATCCTGCTCACACAATTCACAGGTTCAACCAGCAATTATTTTTTCACAATCAAGGGTGTAATAGTGATCCTTACATATCGTTTATGACTATTAATATAAATAATAAGGATAGCAGACACTAACGAGCAAGAATTAACAATCCAACAATCAATCTATGTAAAGTGAATCAGTCCTAAAGAACCCGGGAAAGGGCTGTCGTATGATGGGTACACAAAAAGTGACGAACTTGTTTTGATAACAATATCATGCTTGTCTGTTGAAGAGAATTGGATGATCGCGTCAAGGGCTGCTTTAGTACAGGGTGAGTTTGGTAAACATCAACCTGATACATTAAGTGAAATATATGAAGATCTAGTAATATCTTATGCTTTAATACAAATCAAGAATTGATCAATGGCAATACAAACACAAATGCACAAGTTGGCCGACACTAGTGTAATCTGCCCTAATAGGGGAAAGGAGAAAATTTGTGCGCTTATCACTCACTACCTTCAAGATTATGAGATTTCATACATATCACTCAGATTAATTGGACATCTACAATGATATACAAGAAAAGTTATACAAACATGTAAGCCCACAAATATACACACTACAACATGACAAGAGAAGCCACTGATAGGATGTGTGAATATAAGCACCTACAAAAGTCTGAATATGGTACACCCATAAGTACAACAAGATCTTCGTTTTGATGGCAGCATTTACAGTATTACGCAGTCTTATGCTTCTTCACTGCTGCTCTGGTTGCCATTTTTAAGTATATTGAACTTGCAAAGAGGACAAGTCGCGTTCATGTACAACCACTTGTCTATGCAGACAGAGTGAAAATGGTGACGACAAGGGAGCTCACGCAGCTCAATTCCATCTTCATAGGGACAAAGGCAGATGCAACATTCCTGCAACAGACAAGAATGAATGAAATTAACTTCTAGAAGGGGATTGGGAAGTTTATCCTAGGCTTTATGGAAAAATCCAATCAACGAAAGAAATTTATTGAACGCACAGCATCTTCCAGTGGAAGAACATGCTCAATGGGTGTATCAGTGTCACATTCAGTCATTACTCCTCCAAATGATTCTTGAATCTCGCCATTTTGTTTTTCAAATTCACCAAGTCTTCGAAACTTGTATTTAGTCAATCTCTCAACGTCTTCCTTGGTTGCTCCTTCCTATCTCAAGAAGAAAGCAATTTTGAGAAAGGTATTCAGACAGTTGATGTAAAAGGAGAAACTTTAGGATGCAAGAGACACAATCAATAGCATAAGATAGAAAATAAATGCAGTTACTTTCTCTGTACAGTTGACTAGCCATGCGATATTTGAAATTATAATCATTTAAATGTACATCAATCCTAAAGCAAGAACACTGTTCATTTACTTCAGTTCATTTCGGTGATTGTAGTGAATAATCTAGACATAAAATATTTCTTTTCATGAAACTCAGCACAAAGTGGGACTTGAACAAAAGATAAGGACCTACAATATCAAATTCAAATTTCCAACAGTGTTCAGTACGTATACCTTCGTTTTGCATTTTGAAAAGAAAAGAAAAATTGGAAGTAATCCAGACTTAGACAGATGCAATAACATACCATAGCTTACAATTATCAGGCACATCATATCAACCATGTTAACCAAACACTATTTCACATTTATAAGCCTTCTTCATACAAATCACAAGACCCTAAAGTAACTAACATACACGAGTTGAAGCAATTTTACTACCATGATGATATGTCTGCATTCTTCTAAGCACCACCAACAACAACATATCCAGTGTATTCCCACAGGTGGTATCTGGGAAGGGTAGAGTGTACACAGACCTTATCCCTGCCTCGTGGAGGTAGAGAGGCTGTTTAGCAATTTGCTTCTATTTGGAGAATCAGAGATATAAGGGAGACAGGAAAAGCGAGTATTACTGCTAGTGAATTGGGGGAAATGGGTTGGTAAATCATATTCAGACCACAGAGTGCAAATCATACTTGAGTTATAGTGGATGCAGGTTGTATACTCAACTGGTGGGAGTAATGAATGGAAAAGACAGCCAAATTGTGAATGTTACATGCATGTAAAGAAAGCTCAAGAATGCTAGTCTCCAAACACTTCCTGGAGTAGCCAAGATTAAAGGAAAAGTGAGGCCCCAATTACCAAGTTATACAGGTCTGAAACCAAATAAGAGCTAGAAATATATGGATTCAACAAAGAGTTGTTACCACTTACCACTAAACGAAAAAGTATCAAATCCACATAGTTCAGTTCTACATTATTACCTCTGTTTCATTGAAAGCTGTCTTATTCTATAAGTAGTGAAGTAATCTCCAGCTTTGCAAACTAAGCAGGATGGACATAAGGAGGATGATAGATGACACAGACCAACTTCTGAAATTTACTGCATCAAATCTTTTATTGAAGTTTCACTTAAAGTGAATCTCATGTTAGAGCTACTAAAAACAAAGGTAGAGCCAAACAAGACGTGATCGTTCTAACCTTTGACCAAGAAACCAGACAATTTGTGAACCCTCCCCACCTCAACTACCTACAATGGTCTCTTAGTTCAAATGCTGTCCATATTTTATCTCTTTGCAATATCTAGAGAATTGCCTGGGTTTTGTTTTTTTTATTTGGGGGGGGGAGTTATCCCAAGCATGGCAACCAAACAAGACAGAAAAATTTTATTCTAGGACTATTTATTGTAATCCCTCACACCAAACGACCCCTTAGTTAAAGAGCAACATCACAAGACCTTCTACATCTTGCATAACATCTCATATTAGCAATTTAGCATCAGTAAGATGATAATCTATCTACTTCATTAACAAATCATAAAAGGGTTACTCAATAACCCACCTAAACAGTGTAACTATAGGGTTATAACACAAAAGAATTTTCTTGATTAATGGAAACTATATACTAGTCAGTGAGGGTTCATGTAGCTGACCCAAACATGCTTGGGATTGAGGCATAGTTATTGGGAATGAAGTGTTAAAATGATATGCTCCTTCCATTTTATTCTATAATGACTATGTGTTATCAAGCACAAAGTTTAAGGTATAGATTTGACTAAAATATTATAGTAGAGACAGTGGAATAAAAGTATCAATGTAATGGTTCAAAAGTAAGTTTGATAGAGAAACCGTCACATCAAAGTTTAAAAGTTGAACAGTGTTAATGAATTTGAATTCTTGAAAGTTGTATAGAAATAGAATGGTGTAAAATATTTTGAATGTCGAAAAATGGAAAATGTCACCTAGATTGAAATAGAGGGAATAATACAGTTTCTTCTACCTATATCCTCTGGATAAGGGGCCAACTGCTTGCCATTTGCCACCCGAATGACAAACTAAATTGTATGTTCCCGATACAAGGGCATTGTTGACATTTATTAGCTCCTGCCTCCTGCTATCTTAATTTAGGTTGTATACATGTATAGGAGCTAACTATTTTTTGTACTTACTGCATCTTCTTGATGCATGTCAATGAATCATTTCATTGAAAAAAAGGAGGTCTCTACTGTCTACTACAAAAGCAAACTACAGAGTTGAATTGCAACATCTTCTCTCTTTTTTCCGGAGGTCTCTACTGTCTACTACAAAAGCAAACTATTTTCAGAACAGTTCAACTTATCCTGTGAATTTATAAATTTATATTGACACTTCCATCTATGAGAGAAGAATACATGAAGATCGCATATAAAAAAGAGCATCTATGTTAACCATGAGTTCAAAAAAGAGGTGTTAATTAGAACCATAATAGAATACAAAGGGATGAAACAAAAGAATAAGATATCCAGAACATACTTACACAATCTATTTCTTGCACTCGCAGACTGTCTTTTAGCTGATAATCGGAACTAGATCCCAAGAAAGTAATTTCCTATGTACTATGTGATATAAAATGTTTAAAACAAAAAAATTCATAACTACCTGGTCTGCCACTGC